GCCTGCTTCTCCCTCTCCCTTTCTCTCTCCCCAGGCTAATGCTCTCTCTCTCTCTCTCTCTCTCTCTCTATCTCTATCTCTATCTCTGTCTCAAATGAATACATAAAATTAAAAAAGAAAAGATTTTATTTTCAAGTAATCTCTACAACCAACTTGGGGCTTAACTTAACAACCCTGACATCAAGAATCTCTTGCTTTACTGACTAAACTAGCCAGGAGCCCCAGGAAGCCAAAAAATCTTGAAACCTTTTACTTTCTCTTTCTCTGCTATGATCATGGTGGAGGCCTCATGTTGACATGAAGAGCCATAAGACTGAAGCAGCCTGTATTGTGTGGACCCTGCCCAGGCTTCTGCTTCTCTAGGGTCTCCTAGATCCAACGTGGAATGTGCATGGTGGAGACATGAGCTTTCTGGGTTAAGCCTTTGAAATTTGCAGGGTTGTTTGTTACTGCAGCCTAAATCTATCTTTTCCTGACTAATAGACTAAGTTTCACATATTTATGCATGAACATATATTGTTTCTTGAGTCTTCACTCAGATCCATTTACCTGTTTGCTTCTCCTTATACTAATTCCTCCATTTTATTGTCACTGTATAGCATATTTTAATGCCTGAGGGAACAAGATTCATATCATTGATCTTTTTCAAAATCCTGTTGCCTAGTCATAAGCTTTAACTTTTTAAGACAGACTTTTAGAATTCTGTATAAAAGATCTTGGCTGTATTTTGAATTATATTGCATCAGATTTACAGATTAATTTAGGAAAATTGACATCTCTACCCTATAAGCCTATCCTGCTTTTTCTATATGTCTTGCATGTTTCTCCAGGTTTCCTTTTTTTTTTTTTCTGATAGTTTTTGTTGTTCTTCAATAAGATTTTTACCCATATTACATTTTACAATTATTCTTACTGCTGTATAGGAAGAGAACTGGTGTGTCTCTATCTCTTGTATGCAGCCTTCCTGAGCTCCCTAGTTTTTAAGAGAATTGGTTGATTTTCTTTTCCCAAGAGGCAGTCCTGGGATTGCTATTTCTTAGAGACTTAATCCTTCTTCTGAATTTGTTTCTAGTCACTAGCCTGGGACAATTCAGTGTATTTCCATTCTTCATGGCTTCTCCTACCATCTGTTCTAGAAGTGTCCTATTTAAATTCTTCCTCCACCTCTTGTTCCTGTAAGGCATTTAGCAAATCTGTTTGTGTAATTAAATTTCTGTACTATTATTACTCTGTGGACTAATTTTACGGCACTACCTAGCTTATTTAACATTTCTGTATTGGTTTCACCATCCTCAGTTGGAAAACTATTGCATATCCTCTCACTATGGAGTTTGTAATCTGAATATAATCTCTTTACCTCTCATTGATTATCCTCTTAATACCAAGTCCTGAGTTACCAATTTTAGCAAGATCTTTGCTTGTTACTCTGTGTTAAAAGTTTCTAAATATATGGAATATATGGATTGGGATATATGTTCTTATATTTTTTTCTTAAGTTCATTATTCAATGTGTAAAAAGTGTTCAAAGTACAAAAGACACCTCACTTAGGAGTATGTTGATATAAATCTTGCCACATTTTTTAAAATCTTTTCTGAATAAGTTTAACAAAAATCCTGTGAAGTCCCATGAGTCCTTAAACACTATGGCATCAAAGCATGTAGCTTCCCAAGGGCTTGAAAACCATTTTTCCCAGTACCTTTTGCCCAAACAAGCACCGAATAGGGCAGATCTACTCACAAAAGGTAAAAGGGGAGAGGTAGTTCCCATGCTACTTTCTGGAAATGTCATCCCAAAATAACACCTAAGCTATTCTTGACAAAGTCATAAAAAGAAAATACCGGGCTAGTCAGTATGGGTTAGATGATCCTTTAGTGACAAACAATTCCAAATTTTCAGGATGACTTTTTGATAAATGGAAGATGGCTACAATTTATTTTGGCTGTTTCTTGTTAAGGGGTAAAGTTTGATTCCTCTTCCCTTTAATCTGGGCTGGCCCTTAGTGATTTGTTTAACCAGTAGAAAGTAGTGGGTGTGACAAGTATCTTTCACCACATGCAGGAATCCAAGCAAAAACCACCCAACCAATCTCCTCAGCCCCAGAACCATGAGACTTTCTATTGCAGTAGTTATGTAGTAATAGCTAACCTAAATAGGTTTATCATCATGAAAATGTATACCTTGCCTAGGCAAAATCCACTGAGAATCCAGGGGACCATCTAAGGCAACTATTCTCCATGAGGCATCTTATCAACCTAGCCTTCTCTCTTGTGTTGTATAATCCTAGATCATGTCTTATCTCTCAATGTTTCATAGGAGGAGCTTCCTGCTTCCACTGGAAGGTCTCACATTTGTGATTAAAAGCTTCAATCTGCAACTGGTACATACAGATGCTTTCTGCTTGCAGAACTTTTACATTGTTGGGTTAACTTCATGGGGAGTGTAGAAGCATACTCCTTTGTGGGCTGGGAAAGAGAAGGGCACTGGTATACCTCTACCACATGTGATGCTTTGGTGAGAAACATGCAGATCTGGGGATAGAGGAAAACGGGCATTTGGCTTTTAACTCCCTCTTCAACCCTAGAGAAAAAGGGGAAGCAAGGCAGGACCTCTTGTCAACCTGACTTCAAGTCACATCTTCAAAGACTTCACCAGACTTCACTTCCTGATGTGTTTGGGGAATGGGGAGTAGAGTTACTATTTGTGGGAATGGCAGCATGGAAAGTGGGCAAAACTGAAGCTGGGTTGTGAAGGGTTTTGTGTACCATGAAAAACAAGTTTGACTTGAATCTAGGACAAATAGAGACTCTTAGAAGCATTATAGCATGCTATTGCCTCCAGATCATAAGACAAGCTTATTTAATCATACCATGTGCTAGGCATTGTATTTACCCCATTTACTCTTCACAGCCCTCTTATGCAGTGGGTTCTAGTACTACCTGCATTTAAACAAAACCTTGGTGTGAACTAGTTTTAGCCCCAAGTTACATAGGTAAGAAGTGTCAGGGCTCAAGATACTGATCATTGGACAGCAATTGCCCCCTTACCTGGCTCTGTGCTATCACGCGGCTCTTTTGCTCCCATACGTTCTTGCTATGTTCCTTCCTACTGATCTTACTCTGAAGGCCAGGAAATGCAATCCTTGAACACACATTTTGCCTTAGAAAGAGGAAGAGCCTTCAGCAATGGGCTTCCGTTGGGCCTCAGATACTCTCTCTTTTTAACTCATCATTTTGCAAATTTTTCAGCATACACAAAAGTAGAGAAAAGTGAAAAATGAACTTAGCTTCAGCGCTGATTGACACTGTCACTTATGTTTATCCAGTCTCTTTGCACCCCTCACAATTTTATTTTTGGAGTATTATCAAGTGAATTCTAGATACCGTATTTTTAAACACATAAATATTTTACTATCCATAAGCCATAAAGACTTTTTAAAAATATAGTTATAAGACCATTATAACACCCCAAAATTAATAGTTATTTATTTTTTTAATTTTTAATTTAATTTTTTTATTTATATATTTAAAGATTTTATTTATTTATTTGACAGAGAGAAATCACAAGTAGGCAGAGAGATGGAGAAGCAGGCTCCCTCCGGAGCAGATAGCTGGATGCAGGGCTTGATCCATGACCTGAGCCGAAGGCAGAGGCTTAACCCATTGAGCCACCCAGGTGCCCCGTGGGTAATAGTTATTTCTTAATACAGAATCTGTTTTAAAGAATTTTTTCTACCAATCCCAAATCATATACAAAAGCTGCACCGAAAAGAATGATAGAATCCCTGTATTTCTTTTTATAAGCAAAATAAAATGTTTTCTTTTGGGTTTATAGGATTGATTTGTACGCAATACCAGTGATTCTTACTGACACTTATTACAAGGACATTTTCCAAATTTACAATGATTTGTAAATGTGAGTCTTATATTTTTATAAGGGCTGGCTCCAGATAGCATTGAGCTACTGCTAATTAACGCCTAACTCAAGTAAGATCTTCTCTGGAGGCAAAATTAATCTTTCCTACAGGATTAGAGATTAATCTCATGTAAACAGCAATACTGTTAGTTTTATAACGGTCTTTAAGCCCAGGACAGAAATCACACTTTTTCATCATGTGTTGACCATATTATCTAGTTTTATGTTTTGCACGGCTAACAGATTTTTTTATAAAGCACACTTCTAATTGTATTTCAGCCATACAAACTCAGGATGTGCTGTTCTCAAGGTACAGATGCATCTAATGCGTATCTGGAGAGAGATATGGAAATCATTTACGCTACTCTCATTTTAGATCTTGGGAACTGTAAGCCAAGAGAAGGGAGAGAGCCATTTAATTGTAACTGCCAATATTCTTTTATTCCCTGACTCGTTTTATGTTAGCACTCACGTCTTACAAGTTTTTATAAAATTAAAATTATTTTAAAAAATTACAGAGTCTTGTTTCACTATTATCTCCAATTAGGCAGCGATACTTATATTCAGGGGCAGAGAGTATTTAAATTTTCCTCTTCCTTTTAGCAAGAGATGGCCAAGCATCTTTCTGTTTTCTCATTACACATAGCTTTACTTTGCAGTCCATTATTACTTCCACTACCATTGAATAGGGGATGAATTTTTAAATTAGCGGCGGTGTTTCTCTTTAGAAATCCCCCACGCACGCCAACCCCCGTACTGGAGCCTGGGCACACGCGGTGCCTGTTCCAACTTAAGCAACATTGGGTCATCTGTTTATTTTCGGGGGGAGGAGGGGGGGAAGGGCGTCAGAAAGAAAGAGCGGCCGTTGCCCACGCAACCGACACCCTGGGCAACGGCAAGGCGAGGCGGGAGGGGGCGTGGCCTCGGCGGGCCCGGGCGGATAAGAGGCGGCGCTGGCTGCCCGCCTCCGAAGCTGGGACTGTCGGTGCGGCCGGGCGGAGGCGGGGCGGCCCGGCACCACCTCCGACTACCTGGAAAGGCCGGGGCTGGCGCGCTAGCGAGGCCCCGGGCCTGTCGCTTCCTTTCCCTACGCCCCCTGCCGAGGAGCGTCCCTCCGCGCCCCAACATGGCGGGCGGGCGCTGGGGTCCGCTGCTGACGGCGCTCCTGGTGGCCCGAGTCGCGGCGGCGGCGGCGGAGGGCGGCCCCGAGCAGGCCGCGCTACCGGAGGAGCGGAGCTGGGTGCGGCCCATGACCGCCTCCAACTGGACGCTGGTGATGGAGGGCGAGTGGATGCTGAAATTGTGAGTGTGCCCGCCCGCCCCTCACGCCACACTGCCCTCGTGGGCGCCGCCCTCCCAGAGCCGTGAGGGTGTCTGTGGATCCTGCACTGCCCGTTGGGCTCGACCACTGCTTGCCGGGCGACCTGAGGCGCCCGGGCCGGGCTGCTCACGCTGCGCATGCGCGCCAGGCCCTTCGCGGTGACAGCTGCGGGTGCCGAGCATCGCCTCCCTCCTTATCCCACCCCGCCCTATTAGCCACCAGCTTTTGTGGGGAAAGAGTTTGAGGGATGGGGTGGACAGCTTACCACGGGGAGGGGGGTAAGTGGGCAAAACCTGTGAAAAAAATCGCGTCCTTTTGATATAGGCGTGTCTTTTGATACATAGACAAAGGGCTGCCATTCAATGACATTTACATATAGTACAAATATGTAGCACGGGCTAGGCAAGGTATTTGTTGAATGAGTAATTCCAGCACGGCGGAGGGCAGACCGGTGTGTGCGAAGTAGTTTGGTTTTCATTTTGAAGACCCCGGGATGTCAGTGTGAAAACTAAAACAGGAAGATAGGAGTGTTTTTGAAGTTTTTAGAACAAGATTTCAAATAAATGTTGATAATGGTTATCATTTTCAGACGTAGAGATTTCTGGGTAGATATCTTAATTGTGCTAGTGTAATAAAAAGATCTTCCTAGGTTGCCCTTTTTGAACAATAGAAGGTAATTGTACGTAGTGCCTTTGCTTGAAGGAGACGGGAAAAATACAGTTTTGAGTTAGGAACAGGCAAGTAGCTTAAAATTAACTTCTAGGAAGAAATTGATCATTTGGGAAAAAAAAGCGTTGAGGTAGACAATGGGCAGATGTCTGAACAGGCTTCAGAGACCATCATGGTGGGCTTGCCAGGCAAAAATGAAGAACCTCTGGAGAAATGATCACTGAGAACTTAATCTCTGTAAACTGTAGTTTCAGGTAATATACATACTTGATCACTACTGTTTGCTGATTCATCTTACCTTGAGGACACAGACACACAGAATTGGATCTTTCCTTTATTTGTCCAAGGCCAAATTTTGATTCTTTCAATTTAGATTGCAAACAGATGCCTGTGGAGTGAAAACCTCACTGTGAGATCAGGACCAAAAGTTGCAACTCCCTTAGCAGATTACATTGTTCAAAAAACACAATACCATGGCCCCTTCAAACATGCATATACCTTTTGGTCACAAAGAAGGGGATATTTTAAACGTCTGTGTAAAATGCCTTTGCTACCATAATGAACCAGTGAAATGATTAAAGAGATCTGTAGACTTGAAAGACTTATTAAGCTATTTAACCACTTTGGATAAAGATGAGATCATTTTCCATTTAAGGGGGAAACTTCTAAGTAAGTGGAGCTTTATTCAACACTGTCATATTTGTAATAATTGTAAGAATTTTTGACTGCATCTTGTCAGCTAGTACTACAGAAAGTTCTTCGTAGGTGCTTACACAGTGGAGCTTTCTAGATGTCAGTTTTCTGAATAAATCTGACTTTGTGTATATGCATGATGGAGGTCAAAGCTGAAGGCCTCAACTCCTTTATAGCTCCTTTTTGGAATAGCTATGATTTTTTTTTTTCTTTAAGTAAAAGAACTAAGCAAACTAAAGGAGAGTGTAAGCCACATTACGCTCATAAATAGCAACAACCAACAATTCCTGTGTTTGGCCATGTTGACTGTTCAAATTGTATCCTTCATAAATGTACAGGCCCAGACATGGTAACAAATTGCTGTAAACTTGCCATGTGTCCATTGCATGGAATACGTGTGGGCTGTGATACAAGATGAAACTTGTAACCCAGAAGTAAGCTGCCCTTGAGATCATTTTAGTGGAAGTTCCCTTTTCATTGAGTACACTTCAGAATGGTTCAGTATGAAAGGAGGCTGTAAAGGAAAAAAAAATACTGAAACCATTATATCCAAATTTTTCTATCTACCAGAACCTAAGTCCTGAAGAAATATTGTGGCTCTTATCTGTTTGTAATTTGTACTACTCCATCTCCTCCCTTTGACAAAAATCCAACACCTAAAAAACATAAAATTCATTATATTCTCTACCATGATAGGCCTATATTTCTAAGAATTCACTCAAATAGCCAATAATTTATCAGATAATTTGTCAGATTTTTTTTTCCTGATGTATATAACAGAAAAAAGCCAAATGTGTTAATGCTAGCTAACGTCAATCCCTCTTTCAAGTGAACTGATCATAATAAACAGAGATTGTTAGGGGTCCACAGCTGATGCATTTAACTTTCCTACAGAAGCAAGTTACGAGGCTTTCTGATAGTATTAAAATTTTGACATTACTTTGAATGACAGTTCTTTATTTGTTCATTTGCTTATATGCAACTTCTGGGAATTTTTGCTTTTATATCCCACTTCATACAAAGCTCCTATAATACAATTCCTAGTTATATTGGGATTGATAATTTAACTTATTTTTAAGAACCTAGCAGCTTTTTCTGCTTCTCTTGTAAAACCTAATTTGTTGTATCTTCTTCATCTTTAAAACAGTTTTTTTGGTAACTTACAATTGAATTTTCAGTTTTTTAAAAAGATTTATTTATTTTAGCGATAGAGAGGGAGAGAGTGTGTGCATGGGGGGGTCAGGGGCAGAGGGAGAGAATATTCGAGCAAACTCTCAGAGTGGGGACCTGAGATCATGACCTAAGTCAAAACCAAGAGTCAGTCGTTCAGCCAACTGAGCCACCCAGGTGCCCCTAAGTTTTCAGTTTTAAAAAAGCACTGCTCTGATAAGGAGAAATATCAGGTAAAAATATATTTGTAGTAACTCACCATTTCAGTTCTGAAATCTTTGTTTTTAAAACCTGAAAAATTATTCCATTACTATTTACATTTTCTTTACTGCTTATTGTATATTCATGTGTTTCTTGTCTTGTTTGCTTTTATACATTGTTTTATAATTTTATCCCTATTTCTGCCATGTCTCTAAAATTGCCTTGCTGTGCTTTTCTCATCTTAACCTCTGATGAAAAGTTTGCCCTTTCTCAGGGTTAGGAAAGGTTATATAATCTGTAAAATATCTTCTGATGTTTTCTTTATTTCCATTGTTTCGTATTATCCTTCATTCAGTTACTTTGTAACCTTTTGCTATTTTAAACTTTTTGGTTCCCATTGTATCAGTCCTTGAGAATACTACTTGTGTTCTTTTGACAAACAATAGTATAATTCTATATACTTTTCTGGTGGTCTCCCCCACCCCAAGGGAAAAAAGAAGCTATCCAAGCAGCTTTATTTTGAGCTGGCTACTTTTAATCTGATATCCAGAGTCAAGGTACAGGGGTTACCTCTGTAAAGTGTATGGCTCTTTATAAAACACTACTTTTTTTACTTTTTTCTTGGGACAATCATGTTTAAGCTTGAAAACAGTCACAGTGATGGAGGGAAGTCTCATTTATTTCCCTAGGACCTCCAGGTTTTAGTAATTTCCCTCCAAAATCCTTCTTATTTCTGAAGAGAACATCTTCAACATCATCGCCTTAGCTTGTCCCTGACAAATAATTATCATTTTTTGCAGTTTAATAGATTATCTTGATGTGCTGATTGAATGTTTGAGAGATAGTCATTAAATGCTTGTTATGTTTCAGGTTTAGAGTTAGGGATCTGAGAAAATGAAAATGAGCTACATTCTTTGATTTCAAGGGACTGTCAGTCTTCTCTGCTCTGAAGGAAATAAGTAGCAGATACAGCATTCATTTATTTAGCATATGTTTACTGAATCCTTCTTCTCTGTCAAGCATTCAGCAGTGGTTCTCATCAGGGCCCTATTGGCATCTTGGGTTCAACAGTTCTTTGATGTATGGGGGTGGCCTGCCCATTGCTGCCCCTGCCCGTTACGTTCTAGGATTCACCAAAAAAATTTAGCAATCTCCATCCCCTATGCATATTTCCAAATGTCTCTGATTGAAAACCACTGCCCTGGCTACTGTTATGCATATTTAAAAACATGCAAAAAAAAAAAAAAAAGCTCATAAGTGAATATATAAGTATTTGATTTCAGATTGTTTCCACAAAAGTTTATCCACATCACCTCCATGATCCTCATCATCTCAGTCACAGTAAACTGTTGCATTGCTCACATCATATGTCCTCTTGTTCATCAATGCTTTCTCTCTCTCTCTTTTAAGATTTTATTCATTTATTTGACAGACTGAGATCACAGGTAGGCAGAGAGAGAGGAAGGGAAGCAGGCTCCCTGCTGAGCAGAGAGCCCGATGTGGGGCTCAATCCAAGGACGCTGGAATCGTGATCTGAGCTGAAGGCAGAGGCTTCAACCCACTGAGCCACCCAGGTGGCCCTCATCAATGCTCTCTTATTTGATCATCCCAGCAGTCAGGTGCAGAATTCTTATTCTCATTCTCATTTACTAGAGGAGATTAAAACTCAAAAAGGTTAAAACTTTGGCCAAGGCCAGTAGTAAGTGGTTGGCAAGGCCAGAACTAGAATGCAGGCCTGAGCTTTGTAGTTCTTGATGCAAGCCTAGAGTAGCTGGGTAGTGAAGGAGCCTGGGTGATTCATGCTTAGACTGTCAGCTAGCCATCACCATGAGCCACCTGAAAGATAGCCTTTTCCCTGTGGGATTCAGAGGCCCACCCATAATTTTATCCTCTGTAGAATCTCTGAATAAAGAGCATCATTGCTATATTCTCATTCCTGACTCTCTTCACCACTCGAACAGGTGCTCCGTCTTCTGTGCACACCAACCACCTGGGAGAATTCTCAGTTTGTCTTCTTTGTATCTAGCATGGCCCTTATCACAACTTGTAATTATAAATTAATTTATATGCTTCCACACTAGGTTTTTGTCTAATTCCTCTTCTAGACAATCAGCTTTTCAGTAGAGGACGAAAGTCTTTCTTCTTTCTATTTATCTCCAGAGCCTTCATAACAAGTACTAAGTGTTCAATAAATACTTGGACTAAGTGAATGAATGAATAATAGACTAGTTGTTCCTTTAATAAAGAG